AGTTAACTGGCATAATTTAGAAGTTGGGGGTTAAAGGTGTAAGTTCCATATTGGTTCTGTAAATATTTATGAAGTCAGTGACTGTTTGGTAAATGTTGGACTTAAATTGAAAATATTTATGGAAGTTGGGGGCTGAATGGTAAATATCGGACTAAAGTTGAAAAGATTTTATGGAGACAGGGGCTAAAGGGTAAGTTTTGGGTTTAATTTGAAAAGAATAAAAGGAAGGGGGACTGGAAGTGTATATTATGGAAAGTTTCAAAGTTACCGGGTATATAACCCGTCACCTTGCTCAAAACCCTAACCCTAAATGATAACACCCGCCCCCACTTTATACCTCCTAGCCACCGGTCGCCGTCACCACTCATCTAGTTCATTTTCCGACCAGCTAGGGGCCACCGAACGTCCACCATTCTTCCTCTTCTTCTCCTTCTTCAACCGCCACCAAAGGTGGACGTCATCCAGCCGCCGCTGCGTTGCCCAGCCCGCTGCCGCCGCTCCTTCGCCGTTGAAACGCCACAACGTCGCTGCCGGAGACGCCGACGAAGACAAGCAGTTGTTTTCCGATGCTGAATCAGTCGTAGGGAACCAGAAGATCGGCGATTACAGGGAGCTGTTGTGGTTCGGGGCTGGATCGCTACCTCTCTTCTCCATTTCTTGCTGTTGGTGTGCCGTTCCGCTGAAGACGAAGCCGATCCAAGTCGCCAGCGAAACTGTGAACCGCAAGGACCGACCGTCGCCGCTGTATGGCTCGTTTCTATTTGCTCCGGTCATCCTCGCCACCCCGAAGGGTTGTCGTGTTCGTGTTTCACGTAAGTATGAGAGTACTATTGTTTCAAGTTCGTGTAGTGTGCGTGTTATTTTGTGTATGTGGTGTTTGTTTGGCCAGAAAATCGAGAACAGAGAGGTGGTGGTTTCCGCCATGTACCACCGCCGGCCACCACAAGGGTGGATGTGTGTGTGTGTTTATCTTAGTGTGTGTGTGTGTTATTTGAGATTTTGCATGTAAAATCGTAATCGGTGTCAGAATAATCAAAAGAAAACTCATAACCACCACCGTAAGGTGGTGGCTGCTGCCTCCTGCCGCCACCAGCCGCCGTGTTGGTTGGCGGTGTGCTTTTGCTTGTGTATAGTTGCTTTTGGGATGCTTGGACAAAAATGGACTAGAACCATAACCACCACCGTTGACCGCCACTACTCGAGGTGGTAGTGGGTAGTGCCCGACTTATGAAACCCTAGTGGGCCTAATGAAACCCTAATTGATCTAAAGACTTAGCTTTTGGGCCTATTGGGTTGTGATTGGGTTGGAAACCCTAATTAGGGTTTAGAAAGCCCTAATTTTGGATATATGGGTTATGGATTGTCAAGACCCGCATTTTGGATGACCGGATTGGGATTAAGAATTAATCCGACCACACTACATGATTGACCCAATAGATTGATGGACTTAATGGATTAAGTCCTTACTGAGTTAAGTAAGAAACACTTAACCCTAATCGTCATTTCATGTAAAAACCCTAATTGTGTTGGGTTTGAGTTGGGCCTTTTCTATTGGGCCTAGATGTTTGGACTATTGATGGGCCATCCAAGAACAAGTATATGTACTGGAATATTTGGATTGGGCTTTAGGATAAGGCCCATTGGACAAGCTTGGGCCCAATTGGGAAAAATATGGCCATAGATGGGCCATAACTGGGCCTTTGATGATTATGAGATATTGGACCATTGGATTGCCAAGTGTTTGGACCAGAATAAATGGTTGGGCCTTAAGGTAAGACCATGTAGGGGTTTGGGCCCAATTTGGAAAATTGGGCCATATGTTGGGCTTTGGTTCACTATTAGACTTTTGGACCTTTGGATTCGGCATTGGGCTTGAATCAAGCTAAGTTAGGGGTAAAGTAGTCTTTTACCCCAAGCATGGACTTATGTATATGTGTTGGGACCCAATTATTAATTGGGTGTTATTTCGATGTTGACAGATTCAGGAATATGTCATCCAGTAGTTAGGGTTTTGTCTGTGGGATTTCAGCAGTGCGAGGTGAGTCCTCTTCCAGTAGGAACGAGTCTAAGGCACCAATGTCGACCTGTTTAGTTAGTAGTAGTTCCGGACTACGGTCTGATGTCGGGTGGGGACCGATGTAGGTTTATATGCTTTTCCGGGTTTCGATCCGATGTCGGGGAGGTCCCGAAGAATACTTATATGCTTGATGTCTTTGTGATTCTTGCATGTGTTTGTATTTATATGTCTCCGGACTTCGGTCCGATGCCGGGGCGGTTCCCGAGGAATGTTAGTATGTTTCCGGATTTTGGTCCGATGTCGGGCGGGGCCCGAGGAATGTTTATATGTTTATGCTATGTATTTATGTTTATATGTATACGTTGATATGCTTATGTATACCGAACTTTGTTCGATGTCGGGCGGGGCCCGATGTAGTGGGCTAGGCCCAAGTTATGTTTATGTTATGTGTATGTTATATGCTTGATGATATGTTATATGTATACCGGACTTTAGTCTGATGCCTGGCAGGGCCCGATGCCTGATGCGGCCGAATGTCGGGCGGGGCCCGATGCCAGGCAAACCGATGTCGGGCGGGGCCCGATGTAGCGGGCAAGGCCCAATGTTATGTTTATATGTTTATGGTTATGTGATTATGTGTATGTAATAGTTGATATGATCATGTGTATGCCGAGCTTTGCTCGATGCCGGACGGGGTCCGATGTAGCAGGGCGGGGCCCATGATTATGTTTATGTGACATGTGTATGGTATGTGGTAGTTTGGGGAGACTCACTAAGCTTCGTGCTTACGGTTTTCAGTTTTGGTTTCAGGTACTTCGGTTTTCAAAAGAGGAGCTTGGGATGATTGCAGTGCACACACCATTTGTTCAGCCTGGGATGTTTATACTCTGATATATTTGATAGATATTATGATATTTTGAGATACATGGTTTATGACTTTTATGTGATGGATGATATTGATGGGTTTTACTAATGAATTAAAACGAAATTTTTGGGCTATATTTTTGGGATGTTTCAATAACTAGAATGTGTTCAAGCACAGACGATAAAAAGAAAAAGATGGCAAAGTTGACGAAAGAAAAATACGACAAATATTGGGACAACATTGAGAACATGAACTTCTTGCTTCATGTTGTTATCGTTTTAGATCCCCGCTACAAGATGTGTTATTTGGAGTTGATTTATGGTAAGAATTCTACCAAAACAAAAAAACAATTCTTAACCATGTCAACAAAACACTAGAGGACTTATTTCTACACTTCAAGAACAAGACGGAGAGAGAAAGATGTGAAAAGACAAGGAGTGCATCGTCTTCTACACCTAATTATTTTGATTTTGGGCATGGAGCTGATATGGAAGACGATTTTGAAAGGTTTATGGAACAACGTGGGCATGGGGTTAATAAAATAGAGCTTGAGATTTATTTATCAGATGGGATGGAAAAGCGGGCGGAGGATTTCCAGATTTTGGGGTGGTTGAAATCTAATTCAACAAAGTTTCCTGTACTTTCTGAAGTGGCGAAACTTGTTTTAGGAAATGCCAATCTCTACAGTTGCATCAGAGTCGACATTCAGTACTGGCGGGAGGGTGATTGATGAAAGTAGAAGCTCCCTTACACATGTGACTGCCGAAGCTTTGATTTGCGCAAAAGATTGGATACAGGATACCCCAATTGATATCCGGTTTAAAAATATGTCGACTTTATATATGGAATAGACGCGGGAGAAGTTGGTGCCAATAGAAACCGGTAAATATTTTACTATTTTTTACATAATTATAAGTTTGTAATTATATATGTTTATAATTACATACTATTGTTTTGTGTTTGTAGAGGAATTGGGGTGTGGTCAAGGGAGTTGCATGGGTGATGATTTTATTTGAATTTTAAAGGTTTATAACTTAATAATTATAATTTTATACTTTTACACAAGTTTATTACTCAATAATCATTGATCAATACCAATGTTTTTTGGTTTGTAGATGAACTGGGAATTGGTGAAGAGATTTACATGGATGTGGATTGAAGATTCGTGTTTGCATGTTTTGGTTGTAATCGACTATTTGACTATTCCGGACTTTGTGTTTTAGTTTGATTGTGTGTTTGGTTGTAATTGTCTAATCGACACTTCCAGACTTTGTGTTTTAGTTGATTGTGTGTTTGGTTGTAATCGTCTAATCGACAATTCCGGACTTTGTGTTTTACTTTGATTGTGTTTTGGTTGTAATAGACTATTTCGGACTTTGTTTGTAACTTGTAATAGACAATTTGGTTGTAAAACTCATGTTTTTTGAAGTATTTAACTTCAATTTGGTGTTTTTTGAATTATTTAACTTATTGCTCCATTTCTGGAAAATGGGTTTAAACCCAGAACCGTAAGTGTATGGGTTGAACCCAAAAAATAAGAAACCGCCCAAACCGATATCAGAACCCGAGAAACCGATCCTATTAGGTTCTGAAAACCAAAAACCGACCATTTACGGGTTGGGTTGGGTTGGGGTCTAAAACCAACCCAAACCGACCATGCACATCCCTAGTATATCCTCATGTGAGGACATGGGCTTGATTAACGACTCAATAGAATCAAACAAAATGTGACCATACACATAATTTTTTCAAACCATAGAGCCAAACATATAATATTTACCATCATTGTCTTCCCGAGTGTTAAATGTGGTATACCTTACGGATCAATCATGTAATTGTATGTAACTTTAATGTATTTATTTTAAAGAGTCTTAAATCTGGTATACCTTATGATTTTCTGTTTCTCTGTCCCAAATAAAATCTTGATTTTGATCGTCTCTCTCACACACACACAGAAACACATTCCCTTTTTCGCTGCTGGGTTGCATGTTCTTTCTTCTCTCTCCATACTTTCCTTAATTCCTCCGCAATCTCACGTCTTTTTCACCAAATTCCTCTCTTTACAGCAAAACCCATATTAATAACACCCTCCGTCATCTCCCTCACTGTTAATTCACCCTAATTGCCAGCTACAAGACTAGGGTTTTCGCTTTTGCTATAGAAGAAAGGAATCGGATTCAAGCACAGTTGTTTTTATCTCTTGCTCAAACTCTCTAAGTATCCCGATCGCAAAACCTTAGATTCCTAATTTAATCGAAAGCTGCAGCATAGTTCCGCCTTTCTCTCTCTTAGGGTTTGGATTTTGTTAGGCTTAATTAGGGCTTATGGAGGCTTAGAATTAAAGGAAAGCACCACTGTTCTTCTTTCCTCTACTCTTTCTCTTGCTTTGTTTCTTTAGATTAATAGAAAATAATGGAGAAGTACGAGCTTGTAAAGGATATAGGATCTGGGAACTTCGGAGTTGCGAGGTTGATGAGGAACAAAGTTACCAAAGAGCTTGTTGCTATGAAATATATAGAAAGAGGACACAAGGTATATACGATTTTCCCCATATCTATAGTCTTAATTTTACTCAATTTTAATGTTATCTTATTCCAAGATGCTTGTTTTCTTATCTGAAAACTACTATACGCTAATTACAAGAATTTTTGTTCTATTTTGGTTGTAGATTGATGAGAATGTTGCTAGAGAAATCATCAATCATAGATCCCTTCGACATCCAAATATAATTCGATTTAGAGAGGTAATCTTGTCCTATTGTGTTTTTTTCTATTCATCAAGATGGTATCCTTTTCAGTTTTCATCACACCATGGATTGTATTCTACGTGATATCTGTGGTACTTAATAGGTAGTACTCACCCCCACCCACCTTGCTATTGTGATGGAGTATGCTGCAGGCGGGGAGCTTTTTGAGAGGATTTGCAATGCTGGAAGATTCAGTGAAGACGAGGTCATAAAAATATAACAAGTGAAAACAGATTCCTTTCATTGAGATTACTTTCTTCCTCACTTTATTGATATTATCTATCAATATTTCAGGCTAGATACTTCTTCCAACAGCTTATATCAGGAGTTCACTACTGCCATTTCATGGTAAAATGACAATACAGTTGTATTTGCAGTTTTACATATCAGTTCAATTTTATCAAGTTGTGCATCAAATGTTGTGCAGCAAATCTGCCATAGAGATTTGAAGCTTGAAAACACTCTTTTAGATGGAAGCCCTGCACCAAGGCTGAAAATTTGTGATTTTGGCTACTCAAAGGTATTCAATTCATCATGTATCCATTGTTAAGGCTTATTTTGTAAATACAACCAGATGCTAATGGTTTCAGATGTTGTTTATATGCAGTCATCACTGCTACACTCCAGACCCAAATCCACAGTGGGCACCCCTGCATACATTGCTCCTGAGGTTCTTTCTCGTAGAGAATATGATGGAAAGGTAAAGCATCTGATATAATTGTTGATGATTTACATGTTTTTTCAAAGTTACAATTAGACTTGAAAAATACCATGTTTTGGGGGTTTGCAAACTTTGGTTTTGTGATGTTTAGACAGCAGATGTTTGGTCTTGTGGAGTGACACTTTACGTGATGCTGGTGGGGGCATACCCTTTTGAAGATCAAGAAGATCCTAAAAATTTCAGGAAGACAATTCAAGTTAGTTTATTTTACTTTCTTTAGCATAAGGTTTCTTTCTTCTTGAGTCCTGACAGACTTTGACCTTTTGACTTTCCTTTTTTTACTCAGCGAATAATGGCTGTTCAATACAAGATCCCAGACTATGTTCATATATCTCAAGATTGTAGACATCTTCTTTCTCGGATATTTGTTGCCAATGCATCAAGGGTATGTAATATGTATACTTTCAGTTTAAGTCGTCATGTCAACATAAGAAAAAAGGTTTAAATGCAAGAAACAGTGACATATGTATTGGTTTTCTTGCAGAGAATTACCCTAAAAGAAATCAAAAGCCATCCATGGTTTGTCAAGAACTTGCCTCGGGAACTAACAGAAGCAGCACAAACTGCATATTATCGAAAGGAAAACCCGACATTTTCCCCACAAAGTGTAGAAGAAATCATGAAAATTGTGGAGGAAGCAAGATCTCCTCCACCAGTTTCCCGATCACTTGGAGGGTATGGATGGGGGGATGATGATGAAGATGATGATGATAAAGAAGAGGAAGGAGAAGCAGAAGATGAAGGGGAAGATGAGTATGATAAGAGAGTCAAAGAAGCTCATGAAAGTGGAGAAATTGGTCCCATTTAAAATTCATCTTTAAAGAGAGGATTTGTGTAAAAATGGAGGTTAAATAATGGAAGTAAGTCTGTAAATTTGTGTGGTATTATTATTTATGTCAAATAGTAGGTGTGTTTGGTTGGTGTGTGAGGACATGTGAGTATTGGTTTGGTTTCAAGTTGCGGGGATTGACTTATTGACTTCTTTTTGGTAAAGATTTATTATTATATTCTACATGTTTGATGCTTAGTTTAATGGTTATGTTTTTGTAAATTACATGTAATTGTGTGGAAAAACTAAGCTGTTTGTTTATTTTTGACTTAATAAGTTGTTAATCATCTAGGCAACTATATATAGTTGTTTTATTTATATTTATTTATTTAGGGTTTGTTTGATAGTTGTTGATAGGCTGTAAAAGACTGAATCAGATATTTTTAGTTTTGGCATCAAACAGTCTAAATCTGACCATGTTAAACATAGTTTCTTATTAGACTTAGTAAAAAACATATCAGAAAGCCAATTAAACTACGAAGAATGAATGATGCGACTTAGGGGCTATTTGTTTATTTTTGACTTAATATGATTCGTTTCAATATTGGTTGATTCATCTTTTCTTTTGTAATTATTTCCTTCTATTACTAGTTTATTCATCTTCAGTTTTGGTTAGATTTGTTGGATTTTTTGCATTTGTTCCTTTTATCTCTGGCAATTAGCTTTTATTTTTTGCTTTATGGGAATTGGCTTCAATCCCTTCATGTCTATATATATATATATATATATATATATATATATATATATATATATATATATATATATATATATATATATATATATGGTTTTGCAAATGATTTAATTTAATAAAGTTTTGCTTTTTTCACACTTGTCATGTTTATTTGTGATTAAAGCTTCGTAAATTGTTATGGATTTAATCTGTAATCATAGGTTGTGAAAAAGAAATAGTTTATTAGGGTTTTATTATCCTCGATTGGTTTATCTTCATTGTTTTCTATTAATTTTTACCTCATTATTTACATTAATGCTATTGTGAATGAAGTATGTAGGTTGTTAGCTGCCATTAACATAACTTGTTAAAAGGCTCTCCACAAGTAGTTGGTTAAAGACGATATATTTAGTAATTGATGTACAAGATATACTCATAAAAGTTCCATGAGATTGAAATCATATTTGATTTGGGTCCACATTAATGCACAAGCAATTTGCCAATTTGGTTACACCTTACATGTGACTTCTTCATTGTCGACTTCTATATTTTTGTTCTTATTAGGTTAAAATTTTAACTTTTTTTTCATTCAACATATATGTTCAACAATTTTACCAAACAAATATTAAAATATTCAAGACATCTTAATGGTTCAATAATAAATTATTCACTTTCTACCAAACAAACTCTTAGTGAATAAGAGAATAGTGAATAAGAGAATAAAACGAAACAGCTAATTGACAAATATTGTACATTTTTTTGTCTCAATAAACGTAAATTTATTTTTTTGGCAAGTGTTTATGAAAAGTTGTAATTTTATTTCTAAACTGATGACATTTATTTTTGTTCATGATATGAATATCCTTGAGGCAAAAAGATTCCATTTATTTTTGTTAACTTTCATTGGATGGTTTGGAAATTATTTGCAAATGAAGCTATATCATTGTTGGTACCTTTATACTTTGATAACCATAACAATAGACATAGGCATATAAATATACCATGTTAATAAACGTAAAATTATTTTTTTGGCAAGTGTTTTATGAAAAGTTGTAATTTTATTTCTAAACTGATGACATTTATTTTTGTTCATGATATGAATATCCTTGAGGCAAACAGATTCCATTTATTTTTGTTAATTTTCATTTTGGAAATTATTTGCAAATGAAGTTATATCATTTTTGGTAACTTTATTCTATTGATACTTTGATAGCCATAGCAATAGACGTGGGCATATAAATATACAATGTTAACATGATTCTTTTACAATAAATTATTTTGAATCGGGATAACTTCCAAAATAAATAAAATATTTCATGCTTTATAGGCAATCGAGAAGTACTGTGTTTTTTTAATACAAATAATAGTATATGATAAAAAAAAAACATATCTTGCTCTTAAAAAAACAATATTTTCTGTTTTGTTCCATGAAAGCGAAGGTTCCTTTCTTATCGACATTTCTTTGCGAATACATCTATTCACAATTTCACATAGTACTGATTAGTGATTATTACAAAATAATTATAGATATGATTGTGGGTTTAGGTTTTCTTAAAACTTCCTTTACAAAGAGCCAAAGAGGTATTTGGATATTTGATACATTACAATTAAAAGCATTATATGAGATGTAATATTTATCCAATAAGTAGTGTTTTGATCCAATCAACTACCAGCATGGCTACATGAGATGATTTGGTCGTATGTGACATCGTGACGTCATCTTCAGTCCGCTGTGCTTTTCTATACTTGAATAACCGTCGGCGCCATCGACATATAAATTGAACAAAGATGTTTAAATTCAAGAAGTAATGATATATTTTTATTTTATCTGATTGTAATATTATATTTTTTATTTTTCTAATACTATATCATAGTTTTAGTTTTTCATACTAAAAAAATATATTTATTATGTAGTTTATAAGCAATTAAATATGATATGCCTTTATCACTCATATAAAAAGTATATTTATAATGTAGTTTATAATCAATTAAATATGATGTACCTTTATCACTCATTATTATATATATATATTATTATTATATATATATATTAAAGTTGTGAAAAGTTTTAACAGTAAACCTGAGACATTTTGGTCAATTTTGGTCCCTTAAATTACATTTCCGGTACCTCTATTTTTGTTTGTGTGTCACTTTCTTATATATATTCCTGGGGTTACCACATTTCTACCTTCCAGGACCTTCTACATCCAGTTCCTTCTACATCCAGTATCGGCTCTCTCTCTCTCTCTCTCTCTCTCTCTCTCTCTCTCTCTCTCTCCATGGATGCCCTGCGTTTTGTACCGCTTCTTATTCTCTTCCGATTAAAAATCCCTAAAACCACCCCACCGCCATAGACTCTATTCCCGATTTTCCTCACCGACTCCATCCATCTCTCGATTCTTCTTCTGTATTTTCAATTCCATCCAAAACTCAAACGCTCCAATATAGGAATATCTTCAGCCATCCGCTATATTTATCTGTATAACCCACCGCCCATACACACTTGTCTCGATGCTTCCCACCGCCTCTAGAAAACCCTCACCCACTTAAAACCAGTCTTGGGAACGATATAGCCACAGGTCGGCGACGAATGGATCGACAACTCCTTCCATCATCTTCACCAGGTCTATGGTTCTTCTACTTCACGCAACCGTCCGGTTGCACGACTTTTTCTCTCTCCTTTAATCCTCTTCTTCTGCAATTCCGATCCTCACCCGACGCTTTATTACAAAATACAATGACCGCATCTGGTGTTTCTCTTTATTTTTATGTATTCCTTCGTTTTGGGGTACGATTCCGTCGCCCTACAGAGAAATCGAAGCAAAATTAGTTCAGCAATTGAAATGGGTCGGTTCTCTTTGCTTTTGATCGATCGTGGTTGAACCTGGAAACCTCCCGTGAAGAACCCTAAATTCGTCGATTTTGCCCTGCTCCTTCTCTATTCGATTACGCCCCCAATCAATGATGATTCTATTGAAGACGAGTACAATTTGTTTGAAGCGTCCAATTTTTATTTTAGGGTTTTCCAATTCTTTCGGTACAGGTAATAATTTATGTGTCATTTTCCTCCATTTTTGTTTTTTCTTGATGCTTACATTGACATTTTCACTGTATCCCTTCGTTTGAACAAAGAAACGTATCCCTAACAGAATTTGTCCATAAAAGAAAGAATGAAAGATGAGGAAGAACAGAAAAAGAGGAGACGATATCGGAAAAATTGATGTTTATGCTGACCAATCGCCGTTCTTGACGCTGATTGCCATCGCTTGGAGCTTTCAACGGTAACAAAAATAATTCTTACCTGCGTCTTGCTCATATGTCCAAATTACCTTCTGGTAAGTATGCACTTTAACGTTTCTGTTTCCCTTCTAAACCCATAGTGCAGGTGAGGCATGTGCAACCTGAAATCGATGCTAGAAGATCACAATGACCAAATGCAGGTGAGTTAAGTGGACTATTTACTATATCCACGTTTACCATTCACGAGAAACAACTATCTTCATATTTTGTGGGAATCAAAATAATCAAGGTAATTAAGCTATTTTTTAGCACATGTGATTTTGGATTTCTTGCCCAATTCCATTTCTATCCCAAATCCCACATCGAAGTCACTTTAAAATCACCATTTTGAACAAGTTCTTTAATTGGGGTTTCTTTCTGGAATTCATAAACATTTTTTGTTTACTTGAGCTAAGTTCAAAGCTAGCTTTTGTTGTTTCTGGGTTTTAGGAATTTCGAATGTCTTCATCTTTTACCAAGCTTTTTATTGACAATGTAGAAGAACTTTTCCCTGTTTCGTTTCATTTACTATTAGTGTATTGGTCGGACGTTGCTCGGAACGAGTATTGAAAGTCAAATCAAAAGGATCGACACCATACCTTGAATATAGTAAGGTAATGATTTATTCATATTTTGATCATCAGTGATTGAGGTTAACATAATTTTCATGCTTTCATTTTTATCCATCTTCATTTCTCTGTTATTTTACTTATTATGGCACGCAAGGTTCTAAAGTTATATGAAATTTGCCTATTTATAATGCATCAGGTTGCCAGGATGAGAGAATCCTTGAGTCATCGAATTTATTTAGGAGTATGTTTATTTTCATGGTTTTTTATGCAGTACAATATAAAGGAAGGCATTGTAGATCTTAATAATGACATCTGGTTGCTAATTTTCGTATGTTTACACCAACTTTTTTCTGGTTCTGATTTGTGAATGTATTGATTACCTCCATTTTTTGCAGGCAGACATACAAAATCGAGTGACCCATAACTCGATCACTAACTTTTTTAACCACAAATATGCACGTTTGCTATCCCAATGGACACTGATCTAACAAACACAACTGTAAGTCTAGCAATTTTGAATTATACCTTTATGCCCATTTTCTTCATAACTTTCTTCTTTCTTATTGCAGGTTTATATCGACAATCTTGACCTTGGTGTTGCAGAGGAGGGATTGAGGTCGATTTTCTTGCAATTTGGTCAAATAGTTTATGTCAAAATTCTTGCTGCAAAAGGATGCAGGTTTGTTCAGTTTGTCAACAGGTAAGTCTTAAATTTGTCAAAAAAAAAACTTTATACATGAAAAAACTGTAAAAAGTTAATTACTAATTTCCTGTACGACATCTGCTGAAGAAGCAATTCAAAGGATGGATGGAAGTCAAATTGGTCTAACTGTAGTCCACCTTTCTTGGTGAAAAAGCACATCTGCTAAACATGTGAACATTAATTATGATATGCGACAAACACACTTTTCAGATTTATTTTATTTTGTATTTTTTAGTTGATTATCAGTGAGTAGGTTATTGGTGTTTTAAATAAAGAAAGCTGAAATCGGGTGTTTTTGCTCATCTTCGGTCAAATTTATGGAGCAAAAGCATGAAGTTCATCAAAGGGGGTTAGTTGCTTTAACTTTTCCTCTTTTTTTTTGTTTACATGTTGTCTTTTTCCATTCAAATATACGGTTAGTAATAGTTGAAATCTAGAGTCTATTGGAAGCTATGAAAACCGCTGGTAGGTGGTACAAGCGACATAATAGTATGAGAAAAAAGTATAGTTTTGACTACCATTCAACGGTTTAGTAAATATATAAAAATGTTTTTATCCATTCAATTTCTTACTTTAGTGAGTTCTTAATGTATTTTTCTTAACTATATTTAAAATGTATAAGAGATGAAATTATCAGTGAAACATATATCCAATTATGAACTTACACAGAGTACTCTTCTTTAAAATAGTAAAAATCAAGTTGTTCAGAAATGATTTTATAGTTTTAGGACCATATTGCCCCTGCCCGTTGTTTTTATATTAATAAAATTTAATTCTTATAGTTTTAGGGTCAGTATGACCCTGCACACCGTTTTTACATTTAAAAAAAATTCAATTTTTATAGTGTTAGGACGATATTGCCCCTGAACACTTTTTTTATATTAATAAAAATCAATTTTTGTAGTTTTAGAACTATATTGCCCCTGAACAGTGTTTTAATATTAAAAAAAACAATTTTTACATTTTTAGGACGATATTGCCCCTGCACACTTTTTATATTTATAAAATTAACCTGATTAATTTGATACAATTTTTTTTTGGAAGAAAACATTTCAAACTCCGGAATTATGGATTTCATTTCGATTTCATATCAGTTAAATGGAACAGTTATGGATGGCTCTCATTCATATTTGTCGTTTAATTTTTGGAGTATCCAAATTTGTGGATTAATATAAGAATTCAATTTTATGACCATTTTTTTGTAGGGATATGAGTTGTTACATCAAATGCAGCCTTACATCGAAGAAGTTTTTATTACTGAAAATTTGGAACTTAGTGTTAAACTCTCATGGAGTAATGTGAAATCAAGGGTATGCACAATCAAGGTACAATATGATATAAGAAGCTCCAGTGGAAATGCCATACAGGCACGTTCTCGACATATTCCAAATAATGTAGGAGAACATGAGTGCAGCAACATACATCTACAAAAAAATCATTGAAGACCACCGAACACCATAAGGAACCACACTGTTCCTACTCTTTTGTAATCGAATGCCCTGTAACGATCTATTAATGAATCGATATCTTTTTATCGTCATCTCTTTATACATTTATCTACCCCAAAAACAAAAAAGGATATGGATTGTTTTGGCTGACTTTTCGACCCAATATCATACGACCATATCAACTACCCCTGCCCCCCGCGAAGCGGGAGTTACCACTCTAGTTTAAAAAAATCAAATACATACATACATACAGGGCACACCAATCAGTTGTGGGCCTTAAATGTTGGTATCCACCAAACAAAATTATTTTCTAATTTTAGTGTTTTTTTAGCTAATCATCTCTAATAAATAAAAGTTTTTTTTTTTTTTTGTTTTTTTTTTGTTTTATTACTTGTCATTTTATCAAAAGCTTTTGGCACATATCATTATATGAGATTTTACAATTATTTAAATTTCACATGTCATTATGTGGTATCTTTAATTTTTTTTATTAATCAATAATCAAAATCAATTCTACTAATTAATGAGTCGGCTATTATATATGTAAAATATTCATTCTATTTAAATGTTTATTAATTTACAAATATATTTGAATTCAAATGGATGCTCTAATGACACAATTAATGTCGTGTATTTGATGATATATTTGAATTAAAAACATACTTTCAATTTTTTGGATTTTTAATTTGAATTCTAACAAATTTATTATTTATTCAAAATTTATAAATAAATATGTGTGTATAATACATCTCTATCTCTACCCTAATAAATGAAAAAGAACACCATCTTCAAAGAAGGATTTGAAAATTTTGATTCATAACAACTATTTACAATATGTCAATAATTTTTTTTTAGAGTAAATTACACGAATGGTCCCTATGGTTTGGATAATTTGCGTGCTTGGTCCCTAACTTATTTTTTTAACTCGGGAGGTCCCTACTATTTGTTTTTGTTACGCGTTTGGTATCTACTCTTTGTTTTTGTTACGCACTTGGTCAATGTGTTACCTAAAAAGGCTATTATTTAAATAGAGAAAAATGGTGGGGTAGGTAAGGTAATGTGAGAGAAGTGGGGTTGGAGGTGTGTTTATTTAAATAAATTAAAAAATTAAGGGAAAAATAGTATTTTTAAGTAAGACAGGGACCAAACGCGTAACAAAAACAAACAGTAGGGACCTTCCGAGTTAAAAATATAAGTTAGGGACCAAACGTGCATAATACCCTAAACCATAGGGACCATTCGTGTAATTTACTCTTTTTTTTATTAGTATACATTCAATAACTGCTTATTCATCATTTCGTTTGTATTTATTTCGAAAGTTAATTTAAAAAATATTTAATGTTTACATCTTAATTTTCAACATCATTATTTAAAATATGTCAGTAGTTTTTTATTAATATAGATTAAATTACTTACTTATTCATTATATCGTTCGCATTTATGTAAAAGTATTTTTTTTTATATTTAATATTTATACATTGATATTAAACTTTTATTTTTAATAAACCCGTGTAGTACACGTGTGTCTCACACCTACTTGATTATAGAAGTTTATCAATCAAATAAGTTATTTTAACATGTTATATGTTATAAGATGGATAGAGTTCATCATTTTCATCATTCTCATGTTGTTAACTTGAATCGAACCCTGAGTCCCTGACGGTTTGACAATAGAGGACATGCCTAGACCAACTTAGCAAAACAACTTTTATGTATATGCTTGAATAAATTGATATATATTAAATATTAACTACATAATTTGGCTAAAATTAGGCCCTATTTTTTTTGTGTGTGTGTGTGTGGGGGGGGGGGGGGGGGGGGGGGGGGAATGTGTGGTCGAACCCCCTTAGGGACGATCCTGATACAACTTAATAACACCACAATAGAAATGTTAAAGACTTTCTCGTGAAATTCTTTTCGACATATTCAAGTATTCAAACATATATGTTGTGATCTAGTATGCTGGTTGCCATATTGTAGATGTGTATTTCTGTAAAACTTCTTTGAAACTTTGCATCCCACTTTGTCTCAAAACCCTTGCATGCCATGGAAAATGTAGGACTACGACCTATACAAACTCTCATACACTCGTATTAATGGTTGTGTAGCTATACATATTCATACGAGCATGAGTTTTTTTTATTCTTCCTATTTTCATTTATCCAAGTCCCATAATCACATATAAAGTCACTATGGACACTTTCAATGATTTATGAGGGACATAAAACATAGAAACCTTGTTAATTTTTTATCCTTTATATATAACTATTTACTTTTATATCATCTATTATAATATTTTTGACTAATAGTATATTAAAGCATTCAAAACATAATAGAATGAACGATTTTAAAGCATGTACCTAAGTTTTTTTTTTAAACAAGCTGAAAGAAATGTCTCTTCAAGATTAGCATTGGTGTATAGTATGTATGTCTGGACGAATAGGCAGGGCGGATGCAAGATTTCGTAGTAGGTTTTGCCGTCTTGCCGGTGACACATTTTTTTTACGTAGTGGCATAATATTAGAAAAAAACAACAAATTCAAAAAAATTTACACTGCGTCCGGCAAATGAGATAACGTGGTGCTTGAAGACTTGTATCGGCAAATGAGATAACGTGGTGCTTGAAGACTTGTATGTGTTGCATTAAAGATGTGCAAATGCTAGATTCAGATGTGAAGGGGTATAAAGTGTAAATGTTGAGAAACTTTTGGACTACAACTCACTTTGCTTGAACTAATCATATTGTACGAGTCAACGGCCCGAAGTATATATAGTGTAGGGTTGGGAGATACGACCATTTTTTGTGTGTGTTAAGATCTCTCTCAGGTTCTTCTATCGTACAAGCTATCTTTGTTCATAGATCTAGGGTGTCTGATTTGTTTATAAGTTTGTTGTTTAATTTTGTATTAGATTATAGATTTTGTTTGTGAGATAATTCGTGTTATTGTAGTGAGCGATAGTTTTCCAATAATAAATGTTTGAAGGCTTTATGTTTCTTAACAAAACTAAAGTTACACTTTGATTATTGATTTAGTTAAATTAAACATTTACCTCTTATTGCTTTTATATATATATATATATCTATATATATATATATATATATATATATATATATCTATATATATATATATATATAGGGAAGAGTTATTTGGAAAACAAAAAAACCCTAAAAATCATAAAAATGCATAAAAAAAAATACCTAGACATTACAAAACTTTTTTTTGAATTTTTTTATCAAAAAATCGCAGCCTTTTTGATAATTTCGCTGAAAAAAAAAATAAAAAATCATTTTTTTTTCAAAAACATTTTCAGCGATTTTATGTTAAAAGCTGCGATTTTTTGATAAAAAAATTCAAAAAAAAGTTTTGTGATCTCTAAGTATTTTTTTATGCATTTTTATGATTTTTAGGGTTTTTTTGTTTTCCATAGAACCTAAACATATATATATATAGCTAGGTTCAGGTATTCAAAGTAATTATTGTGTTATTGTATGCATAAATGTGGGCCAATCAAATATTAAAATAAAAATAAATAATTAAATAAATAAATAAGGGTAAATAGGTAATTGATAATTATCTTATAATTATGGTAACCATTGACTTCAGCTACATAGGTTTTCTCCATCCATCGTCGGCTTTTTAAAACCACCACATATTCGATCCCAACACCATTACTGCCGAGGTTGAAGGGCACATCCGATAGCCCCCAGCCATCGGAGCATCACTATCAACCGGCGATGCTCTACCACCGCCACAACCTATCTCAGACATCAATTTCTATATTACCGACCAGAGGATCTCGATCCAGAGAAAGAGAGAAGGCGTTCGTTGAAGACATGAGTAATTAGGAGCAGATGAGGAAAAAGGTCGAGATACACTTGAAAATCCCCTTCTGTTCATCAATTCTACACAGTGAGGAGTCTACCGACAATGACAGCAACCGGTGGAGGAAGCGTTTCCTCAAATTCAAAATAATCATCGTTTGCTTCCTCTCATCGGCGTCGATGGTCCTGGCTTCATCGTCACTCCGCTCCCGCCTTCCCTGTCCGTTTTCTATGCTGATTCTTCTATCACTCGAAATTCAGGCATATGCTTGTATCTGTGTGCGTGAATTGATTATTCCAATCGATTCAATGTAAATGAGACTTTTTTTTAACATAAATTGTATCGGTCTTGATTTCTAGGGTTTTATTTGTGTAGAGGTTTAGGGGAGGGTTTAAGCCAGTGGCGATCTGTAAGTGTAACTATAGTTGCAAATAGGTATAGTGTAAAAGAGGTTGTGTCAATGACCTTATTCTTATGTGTAAAGTACAAAGTGAAGGTAGTTTGTCACTATTTTCATATCAAATTTACTTCTTCTTATATGATAAAAATCAATTTGTTTCTATAGATGATTCAATGGATGATATTGGTGCGATTCCAATTCTTTTGGAATGGAATCACGAATTCCAATTCTGTTGGAATGGAATCATGAATTCTAATTCTGTTGGAATGGAGTATGGATATTTTCTCACTGATTTATGCATGTTCTACAATTATTAGTTATTGGTTTTGGTGCAATTCACAAGTCCACATATTTTTCCAAAGAAATTTAGTTTTTTATTTTTCATTTGCTAATGCATTATTGGAATCTAAACTACAATTTGGTTTTGTTTTCACAGAAGTTGATGCTTGAAGAATGGACCACAAAATTGAAAGTGATTCTAAGCAACATTATTCTTTTAGAATGTATTAGTGTCGTTGTTAGATTTTGATGTTTTCTTTCCCGTTTTGAAAGTTTTTTTAGTTTTATCCTTTAACATTATTCTTTTAGAATGTAATTCTTAACAATTGTTACATGTATTCTATAAGAAATAATGTATTTTGTTTTGATTCTTCAATTGATTGTTCAAGAATTTGTTATTCTACAAGAAGTTTTTAAAGTCATGATCAAGAAATAGGTTCAAGACTATTTTTATTATTTATGGTTCAAGGATATTTTTATTTTTGAATATACTCATAAACATATTCTGTCAGAATGTCCGAATTAAAAGAATTATAATTCGTAAAATCGGATTTTTAAAATTAATAGAATCTACGATCCCTTAAAATATGCAATTTTCCTTTATTAAATGTATATTAATTGACTAAAATACTCTTGTAATTAAA